ATATTAGATACACTGGATGTAGTTATGCCTAGAAACTTGCGAAAATCTATAGATATCTTGCATAAATCTTCTTACCACAGGTATAGCTTTTGTTCGTTGCAGTCGTTAGTCACTTATTTAAGCTGTTGATTCTAAGTGGGATTATCGTTACCCTATTTCTACAGTCCTTCCAATATCTCTGCGATGGAATGAAGTTTCGATATAAATCAATCATATCTTGACCGCTTCTTCCCTACTTCAAAAGCAGCTGTAGAAACACCAAACAGTTAGTCATATATTTGATTGATTGTTTTTAATTCAGTCATGAATCAAGTATTTGACATGTGATGAATTCCGATGAACCGATCATCGTCATCATAATCATCAGTTTACCAGAGGTATCAGCAATGAATAATCAAAGCGGCCATTTATCCGGGTGAATATGAAATAATCGGATTCAAATTTACGATGGAAACGTCTGCGAGCTTTCTCTCAACACAGTTCATGCGAATCATTTGATTAGATATTATAAAAATCCACTAACCGGCAGTCTTCCTCATACGGAGCATGTAAGCGATTCAAGAATGATCATTTAAGAAATATGGCTTGGGGTTATCAAAAACAGCAAAACGACAGATAGTTTTAATGCTGGATATACTACGAAGAATCAGTTATCTTCCAAGTGTCCACCGATTACCGTTCGTGATAAGTCAATATATTTTCCATCCTCAAAATGAGCATAATTGTAAACAATTTGACTAGAGGCAAATCGAGTTACTTAATCGCATTTTACATTGTACTTCGCAAGGATTTTCGTTTTTTGGCTCTTGTATCGGTGCTGAGTACAATCTTTTCTCGACTTACTTGTGACAATCAACAGAAGCGTTTTCATGTTCTGGCTGGACGACGGAATACATCGTGATCAGTGTTGCTGGGGCGGTTGATTAAAAAACGAATTCGATACAACGATTGCAACGAAATTGTTTTCTGAGTACATCCACACACACACTCCTGTATGCCGCGCTGTCAACCCTTCCGACAAGCTCTGCCGCAAAGAAATACTCATTCAAATTTGTCGCCAAGCCAAACGGCAAGACTTACGTTGTTTTGAAAGGGAATGCTGAAAGCCAAGTGACCTATGCTCGAACGCTCAGATTAAACAATGTGTAACATTTGAGGAAATCAGTTTGCACGTGCACAAACAATTGAACAAAGGAGGATCGCAGGTTTGTTTCGTTTAATTCATTTGGTTCAAGTTTCATTGTCGTCGTTGAACGTCTCGCTAAAACTTCACATCGCCCTGGGAACTCCATTTGGTCTGACATGCGTCAGCTGTTTGTGATCTCTTCAAAAGCTTTTGTATTGAACTCTTGTGTGAAAAGGTGATCAAATCCTTCGTGCAACCATGAATAATTCAAAAATAATCTTCTCGGTTATGTTCGTTCAGGAAAAACGTAAAAATTTAAGGGAACGACGTTAACCCATCAATTTCAAGTTATTGGTTGATGAGCAACCTGTCAATCATGCAGTTTAATGCCGCATTTATCTTGTCATGACTTTTCGGAAAGTTTCCACAGCAAACCTCAAAAATCAGATAGTCGGTGTCCTTAATTCAAAAGTAAGTCTTCGTAAATGTGCGTTTCGTCTCGAGCGGTGTTAGGTATACTGATAAACAAAAGCTCTTCATCAGCTCACAGAACAAACTGTACAAGCCTTTCACACACCATGGACGGCAGTGATTCAGTCTTTTATTCCACAGAAACCAAATTAGGGTTGAAACCGGGAAGTGTATCCGATAAAACTACATCCAGCTATCTAAATTAATAAGCAAATAGCTTCATTACAGTAGCAAACAGAATCTTCACAAGCCAAACGTTCAATTACTATTTGTTTTCAAAGATTCCTTCGCAAATAATCTAGTAGTATGGTGGATAGTTTTTATTGCCAAATATACAATTTCAAATGTAAGGTGTAGAAAAACATCGCCATATTCAATTAATATCATGCTCTGGTATGTTTTGAGAATCAGTTTAACTGTAAAAAGCGATCATTCCTGAAAGCCGCAGTCCAGGTGGTGTGGTTGTCTTGGAGTGTGACCAGTCACCGTTCTCTTGCACCTCGAGAAATGCTCCTATACGACCAAGCGTCTCAAACGACCTCAGCTAGGGAAGCCCTACTCACTACGTTCCCATGTTCGAGGTGTTTTTCCATCAAACTGACGGACTGCAAAGCCAACGTCAGGCTTATAACCAAGTCGAAGAACCACTGGTAGTCTACCTACGCGAACTGGCTAAAAAACCTAATTTCAAAGCAACAAGATGAGACGTACAATCACACCTAGCCACATATTGGTTGTTGCATCGGTCACCGGCTTCATTGGGCATCGAGGTGTAATGGGCACTCAAATGTTTGATCCCGTCCAAAGGAAGCATTATCCAATGAACTGAACACCGGGCGTCAATGGACTGCGATTTTAACACAGCGCCTCGCTGTCTTGTGAGTGAGGCTTTGGCTAGGGGATGACACCACTTATGAATTCCTCAGGAAAATTCACCCGCCATGGTCTGTTCAACGTAACACTATTCCTCTCACAAACTACTCATGTAACTCTCTCTTTTATGAGGATTGTTACACTGTAATTTTTTGACATTCAGTCTGGATTTATGTGTGTAAAATACAATGACAAAACGATCAAGGTAGTGGTAGGGATGAAGCAGTATAGGCAAACGTTACTGCGTTTCAAAGGGCGTGTTCCAGGTCTCCATAAACGATCATCCTTCTCAATTTCTGCATTTCCTCAGGAAGACAATAGTTGATCACAACTTCTTTTATATAAATAGTAAAGTAATTAACCATTATTTACCACTGTTATCAGAGGATTTGAAGTTATCCAAGGACATACCCACATCAGTGGATTGTCATTTGGGCAACGTTTAAAAGTGTATAATGGGAACCAACATGTTGGAAACTATAAAGCCAAAAGTAAAAAATTAAAGTGCATCTATAAATCACTTGGGATGCACAGATCACCAATTTATCGGAAAGGTCCGTTCAGATACGCTAAGCGTTGATTCAGTGCGTGGGTTATGCTCAGTGGTTTATCGCATGTTGATCGATAATCTCAATACGACTATGATACACATATCCCGTGTCCTCGTTGGCAAGGAAGCTTATAAATCATCAAAAAGTGTGTAAATTTATTTTCTAGTATGCATACAGTAGGTTTATTTCCCTTAAACAAAGTGCCCACAAAATGCTTGTGCCACTTTTGTTGCTTCCCAGGGAGTAAAAATTTGAACTCAATTTTGCCACAAGATCTATTCCATAGGTTTCAGACTAAATGGGAGTTGTTTGAGCACATCTTGCACGTTAACTTTACCTTTTTGGAGGGTACTACTTTTTTATGCGAGATTCGTTTCAAAAATCAGTCAAATTTGATTGAAAAACTTAAACCCAATTGTGTTCTTTTCTTATAAAACTACTGTATTTATAACGCTGTTCATCTTATTTTTAAACCTGCAAGCACGTTGGAAATTAGGCTGAGAATCAGTTAATTATATTTTACTTCATAGAATCGAAACGTTCACCATTTTGTTCACAGAGGGCATCTAACTACTGATTGATTGCTGCCTGGGCTCATTTTCAATGATTATTCATTGTCGTTCCACCGAACCGTGAACCAAGAACCTTCCAATGCGTATGATTTTAGAGTCATAATTTGCGTGTTGCTGCTGCTTTCTTCATTGCGTTTGTATACCTTGTGTAACTAAATATACACCATAAATTGGCTCACAGACTCACAAAATACAAGATTTTGCAACATATACGGCATCTGCATGTTTCACTTGGTATGAAATACTTTAATTCTCTGATGATTAACGAATTAGTACTTTTATATTGTGTAGCCATGGCCAGGAAACTTGATATCCTTACATTTTGTAAATCACTTAATAGGAAAACAGATAATCGGTTTTAATTCTAAACTGTTCTGCAGTAGACCCTGGGATATTTGTTGAATTTTTCTTTGGGACGATGAAGCAAACCACAGAAGTGATACGAAGCAATCATAATGTAATATGAATTTTGGACAAACGATCGATCTTCAGAGTGCTTTTGCGCCTAACTCCATTTTGTCATTTCCTATGTTTCTCGATGGCAGTCGTATAGGTGGAATATCCCTTCAGCTGCCCCTAATGTGATGCCTTTGGCAACTTGTCGTTCAGTTTGACTGTAAGTCGTGTTTATGTCTCACTGGGTCCATAAAAAGAGTTTTGTGGCCCTGGCGGGGTTCGTACCTCGGGCTCTGGGGTCCAAGACTCACCGGTGACAGTCCTCTGAATCTTTCTGCACACTCGAGCTCAAGTATATTACATTGATCTCGTAATATGCATGCTTTTTCACAAAGTAATTGCCAAAATGGTTCCTTCTAGCCAGTAGTATTAGTGAAAACTCAGCCAAGGTATTCTGTGATACGTTCGTACAATAGGTATTGGAAACGGCCGTGATCACAGAGTAACAAACCTCATTTGCCCTTCTGTGTGCGTTCTCACTTTGTAGGTTGTTGGAACACTAGAAATACAATCGGTCATCTTCAACTTTTAACATTGAACAGAGCAAAGCAATAATTAATTATATTCATGCATAAATTGAAACAATGTATGTGTTTACCCTTAATCATGATTATCTTGTATACGATACCAAACATTACCCTGAGGAAACAAAAACAATAGTGATTGGAGATTACATTGTACATAACAACAAGGTTGTCAAGTTATCTCTTATCATGAAAGTGGAGAGAGATTTAAAGAGTGACACAAATTATATGTATAGACGAGGCCAAACTGAGGATGCACCGTTGCGAGTAGGTGTAATGCATACAGAGTGCGTGTGTGCGCGCGCCGGATAGTACACGATGAAATAAACACAATATTGAGCGACTCAATATAAAGCGAGAAAAGTGTAGAAATTATAGTTTTCTGTTGTTATGAAAATATGTGCACACTCACACAAAATACCGGTTTTCAATCCGAATAGTGGCTTTTATGATCATTGTGTTTTACACGGGTGGCATATAAATAGACCGGGCCCTGATCCGTTACTGTTGGCCCGTCCGGATCGTTTGGATTGAGTAAAGTGACCAAGCCATTTGGTTGTAGGTGTTGGGCCGGATCATACGAATCATCTTGGATTTCCACCGTGCTGTGTACCACTCGAGGTTGAACTGTATACGGATGAGTTTGTATGTACTGTTTAAGCACAGGTTTGACCGCGGTATCCGGACTGACGATCTGATAGATATTACTAACCGATTCAGTGGAGCTGGAATCCGATTCGAGGTCCGAGAACAACATCGGAGGTCCCATCTGATTGATTTTGGAATGTTTACTTGTCCCGTTCAACAACGTGTTCTGATGTGTGTCATACACGTGGATTGGTTTAATGGCATTTTGCTCAGACCACACTGTGACGGGGACAACGGGACTGAGTGGGATTTCATGCTCAATGGTTGTACGAATTTTCGATCGTGTCGGACCCTTCGTGTTCATCTGACCTGATGAGCCCACGATGTATGTACTGTCTGTGGG